AAAAGGGTACGGCCAAAAATTCCATATCCTGTTTATCTCCATTGATTAAGTCTAATTTTAAGTTTGGTTAGTTGATTATCAGCTGGTTGCACACACTCTTGTGCACACAGTGTAAGCAAGAAAACTGCCATGCTTTGTTATCGGACATGTTGCGCAAGATGGGAGATTTGTATGGATAATTGCAAGGAGCAGCTCTGAAACATGAACGCTCAGCCTGCCAGCCACTAGCCTTCCCCCCACCAGTTCCTTCACTTGAGGGATCAAACTGGCAAGGACCTTCCACAATTGCTTAGAAAATAGATAATGCACAATCAGCTGCGAGTATCTCAACAGAAGAGGCTTAGACGCAAAATTATAGTGTCAAGAGAGAGAATAGCAATCGGATGTTGGTAGGGTTAAGGATAGAAGGAAACGCCCACCTCTGCAGAAATTATTGAGAAACTTCTTGTTAAAAATTGGCAAGCAGGACAGAGCTGTTTCTGGGCCCACTGCATAAAGAAAGGGACATACCTGAGGAAATGGGCATGGGACCTGGGCACAACCTGGCTGTGTAGGTTACTTGGCAACTGAGTGCCAGGATGGGAGTCCATTTCTAGCAGCCAGAAATGGGTTCAAGCAGCATCATGTACCGAGGAGCTGAACATCACATCCTACATATCCTTCCTGCAACATACATGGCACGTTGGGTGTATTTCCAGGCCTTACCCTGACGCTGGGACATGTAGGAGCCTCACTGTATCTAGTGAAAATGAGAATCCTTGAGCTCAAACCTTCTTTCTGTTAGTTGGTTTGTACCATTGGTTTTTAGTGTCTCCCTTTTGCATTCAAAGTAGTTTGTTTTAACTTACACTTTTTAATGTCATATTAAAGGAGTTAATTTGAGAAAGTGCTGCTGCATCCACACTTTAAAATAACAGCAGCCTTTGAGTATCCAAACGTGGTCTGAAAAGGGGGGATAACCCTACACTTGCCCATTGTATGTTGACAGGCTAAGCTGATAAGAGAGCACTTCTCTTTTTCTGTAAATTGAAAGGGAGTAATCTGACCTTTCTCTTGAGCTTGAGGTGCCTTTGAACATGATGATAGTGGAGCTACACAAATTCCCAGGCATACCCTGGACAAATAAAGTACCGAAACACACATTTCAACCACACTCTGTATACAGGACGATGAGCTTATCTGTCCTAAGTGGTTTGGGCTGGCTGAATGAGGAAGGCATCCAGATCCAGGCCAGATTTCAGTGACAGATCAAAAGGAATACACACAATTTGATCTAAAGCTGGTTTAACACATTAAGCAAGATCAATGTGGCAGGGCTCAAGAGTAGTAGCGATACAGGATGATGGAGTCAATTTTGCTGTTGTGCACGTGAGGGAGAAGAGAATCAATATCTTTGTCATTCCGCCTAAGAGTAAACAGGGGTGGTCCAGTTTCTGTTTGGAAGCCTAAAAGAACTGCCCTAAAGTAAAGTACTGTAATGTAAAGTAAGCTCAATGAGATAGGGAGCCAGAGGTTTGGAGTTCAATACCCTATTGTGCCTCCCAAGAGAAGAGCCAGGCTGTGTAGTCTCGGGCAAGCTGCCCAGTCCCAGGATGCCTCCAGAAGGAGGGACGCTCCAGTCTCTTTTCCCATTCTTGCGGTGTAGTCTTGGGCAAGCTGCCCAGTCCCAGGATGCCTCCAGAAGGAGGGAACAGTGAAGCAGTTCTAAATACTCTCTACCTAATAAACCAGGGGTGGGCAAAAAGCGGCCCTCCAGATGTTGCTGAACTACAACACCCATAATTCCTAGCCCACACAGACAGTAGTGAGGAGAGAGTTGGGCCTAGCCCATTCCTAGCCCACACAGCCAGTAGTGAGGAGATTTGGCAAAAAGCAGCCCTACAGATGTTGCTGAACTACAACACCCATAATTCCTAGCCCACACAGCCAATAGTGTGAGGAGAGTTGGGCCTAGCCCACACAGTGAGGAATGTTGGGATTTACAGTTCAGGAACATCTGGAGGGCCACACTTTGCCCAGGTCTATTAGAAAGGGTTGCCATAAGTCAGATTGACTTGATGGCATATACTTATTAAAGCAAAGCAGGGGTTCTGTCTACTTGGGGTTTGTTCAAGGTATGCAGAAATCTATGAGGTAGTGTCTGGAAGGAAAATGTGAACAAACAAATCCAAACCTGTTCCCCTTGTCTACATACTTATGAGCATAGGACCTAGAGAATGTTGATGGACTATATAGATAAACTCTGCAGTAACTCTCCCTTAGCCTTGGTCTGGAAATGGAACATCCAGGTTCGTACTGATTATCAAAGACAAGAAATCCCCTCTCTGCAGGAAAGCTATCATTCTGTGCTTCTCTATTGTTTTCTACTAGGAAGTTCTGATTTTAAGCCCTGAGTGGGGAGAGGAAAGGGTCCGGTGGGGGGGGGGAAGGAGTGGAAACTAGATGGTTCAGGGTTTTTTGTTGTTTAAAACATTATGCTGAATATTATTACAGAAAGCTAGAAACAATTCACAGGATTAAAACATATTTCTGGATTTAAAACCAATCCAGAGGTGGGGGGGGGAGAAAGAACTATAAAACAAAAATATCAGATCATAGGGCTGAAGGCGTCGGTTTTAATACGCAAGGAACTGCCTGAGCAGAGTTGTGTAATCTAAAGCAGTCAACTTGTTTGTAGTGGAGAATTTCCTTTTGTGTTTGTTTTTGATTAGAATTTAATGAAATTTGCACGTGAGAGAAAGTGAAATGGACGGGTTTGAGCATCCTTGTAGGTGCCTCCCAAGGGAGGAGAGCAGGGTGCTCCAGAAGGTAAGCACCACCATAAGAGAAGGTCTGTTCCACATAGCATGGTCAACAAGGACTCTTCTCCAAATAATCTCAGGCTGTTCAGCACATCAGTGAAAATAGCTTGAACGTCTTTCAGTAGCTAATAAGTTGGCAACACATTTCTTGGTACCCAGTTGTGATCTGTACCTTTCTAGGAACTACACATGCTCATCCTTTTTTTGCCGTCGTGCACTTTGACTGTTTAAATATTCCTTATTATGGGGAGAGCCCTGTCAGCTGCAGGCCATGTGGAGCTGCTACCTCGTGCAATATTCATGCTCTTAAAAAAAAAAAAGAAAAAAGAAAATTACCTGGGCCGTCAGAGAGAAACCAGCTGGGGAATATCCTTCTTGCCAGCAGCACAGAACGCAGGCGTTCGGCATGAATATTTCTCTTTCTTTTCCTCCCTTTTCCTCTCTAAGAAGCTTCCTCTGTAATTAAAACTAAAAATTGCATGATTGCACCTGCTCGGTTGGCAAAAAGAATGTTTCACTTTTAATGGAACAAACCTACTTTATCCGCTGGATGGGAAAATCACGGATTAACTTTCATCCTAAATCATGTGTGTAGCCTTTAGAACAGAGCATGCCATTTAAGTGTGGAGGAGATGCATTGCCTTCCAAATGAACCTGCAGGGTTGCCTGTAGTTCTGTTCTGGTTCAGGAATCCGCAACACTGTGAGCCGGGCCTGCGGCAGAGTTTCTCTTGTCTTTGTTCGACACTTTGGCATTAAACCGGATACTCAGGAGAAGATTAAATGTAAGGGCAGAGAGGCCTTGATCATGTATGCAGCACACCCTGTGCTGGTCTCTCTCTTCGGCCATGGCTCCAATAAAATGATTAAGGGTGTTGCTGACCTAAATGCAAAATGCAGGCATTCAGAAAACATACATGTTAATCACAGTCAGATTTAGTATTCATATAGTGCAGACCTGGGCAAAGTGCAGCCTGAGGGCCACATACGGCCCGCAAGCTGCTCCTGTCCGGCCCGCGGACAGTTTTGAACATCAAAACCATTTATAGCTTTTTGTCTAAAGTCAATCAGTTGCTTATCTTTAACATACCGCAAAAAAACCCTCTTTAGTATTTGAGAAGATTAACAAGTTTAAAATAAAAACAATCATAACATCACTGTTTCATTTTATTTTTAAGTAAAGTTAGCCTGTGCTGACTGCCTCCTATTCTTCTCTGGCATGGGTGGTCATGGGCTAATTATTGGTTCGTTGGCCTGCCTGTTCAAGGTCAAGTATCTCCCTTCTAAAGCAAAAGTGGGCAACGTTGCAGGCTCTCAGGTCCCAGTTTTCTGGTCCCGGGATCTTCTGAAAAATGAATAAAAAATATGGAAGACCAAAATAAGGGATTGCTAAATCAAAATGAAAGATTGCAACAGGAAGCTTCCTGGAGCATGATTATTGGGTCATTTCTAATACTGTATAGTTTTGTATGGTATCCTAAACTGTTATTATTATTACTGTATTATTTTAGTTCTTGTGAGCTGCCTTGGACATTGGTTTCAGTTCTGTGGCCTATCCAAGCCAGGGGCTCCCTGCCTGCAATTTTTGTTGATTTAAAATTACCCATTTGTGTAAATTCCGGGCATAAATTCAAATCTAAATTAAGAACAGAGTGAGGGGATAGATATTCATTGCCACGGTAAGGTGCCAATCCAGCCTGGGTCCTGCTTTCTTTTGAGAGAGAGCAAAAGGGAAATGCCATCATTTTGAGGCCGAGAAATCTGTTCACAGCCCCAGCATTCACGTGAGAAGAACATGCTGTTTGTGAGAACAAATCTGTTGTCAGTGGCTTTTCACAATCGAGTTCTGATTTGGAAGTTGGAGTTAAACAGGTGGATGAACAGGGTGCACATGACTCAGTCAGTGTGAGGCCATGAGGTATTTGTATGCAGCAGATAAAACCATGTTCCTGAAATCATGCCTAAATCCCTGCAAGAGATCATTTGACAGACATATTCACAAGTCCCCCAACCTAGATTTTGTATCTGGTACCAAGTGGAGTTATACATTTGCTGTCATATTGGCTTCCGAAAAGTGATGTGGGCATCAAGGAAAACCATTAGGTGAGAGCAGCTGTTGTGTGGAAGACCCACATCAAAGGAATCATTTTTGTCTCTCAGTTTTCTTTCTTCCTTTCTTCCTTTTTTTCCCCTCCAACAGAAATTCTTTTGGATACTACAGGAGAGACCTCAGAGATTGGCTGGACTGCCCATCCACCTGATGGGGTAGGTGCTTCCCATTGTTCTCAACTGTTTACAGAAAAGCTCCACACACTGTTGAGCATGGTTATACGTTACTCTCCCCTTACATGAAAAAGTCCTACTTGGACAGGTCAGGATCTACAAATCCTGCTGGTCCCATGGAGGAAAACAGAGAAAGCTGGAAAGGATGGTCATGCTGCTACCTGTGTCTCTGTAGATTCCATTTCTTCCTTCTTCATTTCTGAAGGTGCCACACACAGAGCTCTGAGACCTGTCTTGGTTTTATCCCCTGTAAGGAAGGATGGGACCCATTCAACATCCCCTTCAAGCTGCACAGCCATGCAAAACTGCATTGGTCCGATGCACCCGCAGCAAGTGTTGCTGCCCATTTGGTTTGAGTAACAGCCAGAGCATCACATGTGGGGTTGGTACCATTGTTGTGAAATTGAATGTAATTAAAGATCTTTAACTACATTCAATTTTCCACCCCTACTGAGCAGAAACCCCACCTTGTGCATGCAAAGCTGTTCCTGGAGCCAAATGTTACTGGTTGCGGGTGCACCGGACTGATGCAGCACTGAGCAGCCATTCATCTTAGACGCATGCAGCTTAGACCCGTTGGACCCATTTTATTACAGGCCCACAGGAAAGGATGGTCATTGGTCTGGTTCATGGATGCTTGCTAGCATATCAGCAGATCTATCATGCCTGTTGGGGCTTTATATATTAAATTTCCCTTAAATTTTAATGTAAATTGTTTCTACTATTTTAGTTGAGATGGTAATCGATTTAATCATGTTTTAATATTTGTAATCTGTTGGCTGAAAGTGTGTTGCTTAGTGTAGTAATCCGCAACTAGAGTATGCCCATTTGAATCAAATTGGTTTCTGGAGTTGATTCATCAGATCCCCAGTGATTCAGCTCTAGTGTGACTTTGTATGCTAAGCAACAGGCTTTCAGACAATAGATTATAAATAATTAAACATAATTAAGTCATTTAACATCTCAATTAAAATAACCAGTCATCACCCTTAAAGTATCACTAAATACTTTTTAAAAATTGATATTGAAAGCCAGCTTGGGGATTTGAACCCAGGTTTCGCAAATCCTAGTCTAACACTCGGTGAACCATGGACTCAGTGTGGCTTTTTATTTTATCCTCTTTTTAATAACGTTTTGTTTCTAAGACAGAGCTGGGTGACAGGAGAAACAATTACTTGTTAAAAGAATTGAGATAAATAGACGTCAAAAATAGGTAGGCAGCAAAAGCTGAGCATTAGCTCTCTACAACAGGGTGAGCAATACAATGGTCCTGGTCATTTTTATAACCTCTGGAAACTTTGTGTGTACCAAATCGGCATGACCAAAAATAAAAAATAACCCACCGCTTTCTCATTCAAATGATGTGTGTACAAAACCCTAAAGTGTCTCTCTACTTCATATCTTAAATCTTGGCCAAGATCTAGAAATGAATCTCCTAGAGAGTTTTAGGAAGATAAATGGTAGTGCCTCCTGGCCATGTTTATTTTCTTTTTTAAGAAAGCGTAGACATTATGTTTCTTTGGTGGGCGTACTCCATTCTCTTCCTCCTTTCCATGGAGGCACTTATGTCCATGGCTGGGGCAGAGCAAGTGGGAGACCACGCTGTTCTCCCCAGGTACCAAAAATGCCAGTTACAGCTTTGAGACTGAACTAAAATCCCTCTTTATATAGTCTCTGTAAATCCTATTTTCTTTTCCACCTTCCTTTGTTTGATTACTGTTAGGGGAGGCCACCCCTAGTCATGGGAGAGCTGGAAACTTATTTCCCAATTGTTTATGTGCTCCCTTCCCTCCTTGCTCTCCACTCCATACAGTGGGATGAGGTGAGTGTCTTGGACGACCGGAAGCATCTGATCCGAACCTTTGAGGTGTGCAACGTTGCCGAGCCAGGGCAGAATAACTGGTTGAGGACTCATTTCATTGAGCGTCGAGGAGCCCACCGGGTCCACATCCGCCTCCGCTTTTCGGTCCGTGACTGTGCCAGTATGAGGACGGTGGCTTCTTCCTGCAAAGAGACCTTCACTCTTTACTACCATGAATCGGAGATGGACGTGGCCACCCCGGAACATCCAGAGTGGCGGGAAGGACCATGGACCAAAGTGGATACAATTGCAGCCGACGAGAGCTTCTCGCAGGTGGACAGCACAGGGAAAGTGGTGAAGATGAATGTGAAGGTGCGCAGCTTTGGGCCGCTCACCAAGAAGGGTTTCTATTTGGCCTTCCAGGACTCCGGGGCCTGCATGTCCCTGGTGGCGGTACAGGTTTTCTTTTACAAGTGCCCAGCGGTGGTGAAGGGTTTCGCCTCTTTCCCGGAAACGTTTGCTGGAGGCGAAAGGACTTCGCTGGTGGAGGCTTTGGGTACTTGCGTGGCTGAGGCTGAAGAAGCCAGCACGACGGGCTCCTCTGGAGTGAGGTTGCATTGCAACGGGGAAGGCGAATGGATGGTGGCCATTGGGAGATGTGCTTGCCGTGCTGGCTATGAGCCTGCGGATGAGGAGCGAATCTGCAAAGGTGAGGCATGGATGCTTCAGAGCCTCTGTGGTGTCTTCCAGACCCAGAGTGGAGAAATCAGCAATTTTCTAGTGTGCAAGGGCTAGTGAATTTTGAATTTTCTTTTTCAAAAATTAAGGCTTTTCTGAGTGCTGAGTACCCACCTGCAGAAGGGGCTACCCACAACATCTCTGGTTTATTTCCTTTTCTGATCTTGCATCCTTCCCATCAGGCAGTAGTGATCGTGACCCATCTATGGATTGGGTGCATTTGGATTTTTTAAATCATTGGCAATGCAGTTCTGTGGCAGCTCTCATAAGAGGCTGTGAATGTATGGCAGTCCTGCCCATATGCCAATGTTGCCAGCCCACAGAAATTTTATAGGATCCTGTATACCACCATGTTATCTGCTGTCAAGTCTGAACTGACTTATGCAACCCTAACAGGGTTTTTGAGGTAATTGAGGTATTTAAGGACTGATTTACCATTTCAATACCCTGAGTGAGTTTCCCTCGCAGAGCTGGGGAATTAAACTCAGCTCTCCTGAGTCCTTGTCCATTGCTCTATTCACTACAGCACACTGAGTACACGCATCCCGCCCTATACCTCTGTGATTCATTTCTGGTAGATCAAATGTCATTAAAAGAAGAGCCTTTCTTTACAAAGGCTTTCCTAGCCAGCTGAAAAAGAAGAAGGATAGATAGGGAGAGAGGAAAATAACTTCAAAAGAGAGAGAAGAATATATTAGGTCAAAAAGGGTAGACGTCAGATGGACAAAATGTATAAAATGAGAAGTGAATTATATGTTGAAGGTTTTGGCTAAAGAAAACTGATGTATGTTGCTTAAAATGATTTGTCTTAAAATTACTGTCTAGTCGAGCACACACCCACTTTCCAAACTGGTGGTTCTTAGACTGCCATTTGATGGTTATGGTATAGGGTGATGTGGCAATAGGGACAGTGACTGAAATACATTCTAGAGTTTGTTCCACGCAACATTGGGAAGCCTATACTTTCACTTGCCAATCAAAAAAGAGTGTAAGCCAAATATGTTCAAAACCCAAAGATAGTGAACTAATTAGCATTACTGCTGTGCTTCTCACATATCCTCTGACAAATTAAGAGGCTGACTGCTGTTTGGTCCACTGCAGGAACGGCCTGGTTTGTTCTTAAAGATAGTAATCAGATGACATTGTTGCTGGAGTACACCAGTTCACCCCCAGGGTGATTGCTGGAAACAAACCAAAAGCACCCCTCTCTCATTTGCCAATATTGTGAAGTGGCTTAATAAAACAGCCACCTCAGGATATTGTCAAAGGCTGTGGACCAAATAGGGTCACTTAATGTTTGTATGTGATTTGGATGCGAGGATCTCACTACATGGCATATCAGATTTCCTGATGACCCAATTTAGTCCAATCCAGCCCACTCCTTTCATGCTGTGTAGAGAAGCCCAAACTCATCAGATTGGTGGGGTAATCTTCTCCTGGCCTTCTGTGATGTTACTTTCAGCCATTTAGCTATCTTCCTTCCTGGCACTCTCATTCACAGTGCAATTTCAGCAATAGTACAAAAAGCACCAGCATCTTTTGGAAAAAAAAGTGAGACATTTCTTACTTATTTATTTATTCGATTTCTACCCCGCCCCTCTAGACAACGTCTACTCGGGGCAGCTTACATAAATTAAAACACATTAAAATAGCATAAAATACAATTATACAATTAATTCTAAACAACAGATTTCCTCAATGGCAATACTCAAAAGGGGGAAAAAACTGTCCTTAAGGTAATCCAGGAATGGCAGCCAGGCAGCCCTCCCAGTCTGTTGGACTCCTGTTCACATCAACCTTCACCACCCTCAGGGGTATGCTTGGTATGTTTGTGAGAGAAGGCTTTCTTAGTATTGGAGGTTCACTCTTTAAGGGAGGTTTACCCTCCTTCCTGTGGTCCTTACAACAAAGACTGTAAAAGGACTGTAATGGTTGTCATTTTTTTTTAAAAAAATGTGTGTTTAATTGCTTTTAAATTCAATTCTGTTCTAGTATTGTACCCTTTGTACTTTTATCTATACCTTTTTAGGTATACTATAGATAAGAGTACAGATAAATTGTTGTGAGCTACCTTGGGTTCCACCTCTGGGGCATAAATAAGATAAGAAGGTGGGGGTATCATAAATTCCTTCCCAGTGGTCCAGACAGAAGGCAAGGTGCCTAGAATCATGGCCAGGTATGGCTTGTCTGGAAGTTCCATAGCATCTAACCAATGGCAGGAGACATTCCCTTGTGTGCCTGGACAGAGCCTCTGAGTCCTGCCCATACACAGTCTTAGGTGTTCAGAAAGTCCTAGATGGAAGTCTTTCCACTTCACAAGATTTCTGCCTTGTGTTATATTTTCCTTCAGTGATGACCCTGACTAGCCTTAATATGAGCTGGTGTCTGTCTCTTTCGCCGCAAACCATGCATTTCTAAAACCTACAAGGGGGAGAACCTTGTTTGAGAAGAGAGAGAGACTGCAGGGTGCATGCCGTTCTCCAGTCTGCTTGCAGACAGGATTGTTAAATGACCACAAGCTCAGAATGATTTTCTAGATGCAAATATAGAATGCTGATGGGATACTTTTTCATAGTATGTGATTTGTACAGATTCAGTTGGGGGCTGGGATTAAGACCACTGGTAGTTGTTTAATGACTGCATAGATTTTACTTTTAATAGATGTAAGGGAAGAGTTGAAAAATGAGGGTTTACTTAGTAAGAAGTGCATTTCTTCATATCAACCTCTCCTCCCTAACCCCCAGATCTCGTACCCTCCTTATGTGTAGGACCACATCTCCTGGAAATCCAGACCCTCTACAGGAAGGTTCACCCAGTTCTCTTATACCCATTAAAGGGCACATTTGTGCAAGTGGGAGGAAGGCTGCTTTAGAGTACATTTAAAATGAATGACTTAATGTATGTGTTTTATTCAATAAAGGGGAAACTGGGAAAAATACAGAGGTTGGTTGCCAATGTCTTCTGAACTTTAATCATGTTAAGAATGTCATATCTCGTCTCTGTCTTGCCTTTTAGCTGGAAGGCTTCCTGTTTGACTGAGGTGTGAGCTGCTTAAGAGATTTCCCAGCTTTTACGGAAGGTTTAAGGAATATTTGGTCTTGAAAGAAGTGAGCGCTCCATGCCAAGTGTATGAGTCAGATGGGTGCTCACACAAAAAAAGAAAAAGAATTATCACTTGGTGTTTTGAGGGGAAACGAAACAAAAAAAAACTCATCACATTTCCCTTGAACCTGTGCACTGGGTGGCATCTGTGATTAGCTGTAATTCTTTTCGTGTGGGTCACAGCACTATCACCGCTTTGTGTACCGGTCCATGGTGGTAGAGCTGGAACCGCTGCTAGTGGCTTAATCAGGTCATTTAAATTGTTTGCCTACTTTTAACATGGTGAGCAAATGTTTGATGAAGCCAAGACCCTAGTAGTGTGAGAGACAGCAGCCCCACCTTTCAAAGTTGCACATGGGTTCAACTAATTAGCAAAGGCAAGGTTGATGGCCTCTCACTCTCTCACTGTCCTAAAGTGAACAGTTTGCAAGCAATGACAGATGGTATACTATTTCATTCCCCACCACCACCACCACCATAGGTGCATCTCATGCCAAAATGCACTCATAATTGGCAGATGCTCTTGTGCTAGAGCAGGGACCTTTTTCCCCATTCAGCAGCAGGCATTAATTGCCACTTGTTTTTTCCTGGTTTATCTTGAAAACGTCTTCCCAGTTATCCTCTTGCCCACTGAGATCATTAGAAGATGCTCAGTCTAAGTGCCAAGCCCTGTGAAATTGTAGAATTTTGTGGGATGGAGACAGCTGCTTACACCGGAGGGTGTGAATAATGGAATTTTCCATAGCAAAAATGACATATTTACTGTTGCAGGTAAAGTTTCAGAAAACTGAAAGTGGACTTGAAAATATTACTATCAGACTCTTTTTTTTAAAGGGCAGTTGAATGCATGGTCTGTTCTGTAAATGTGGGTAATAATCTGTCTCTGATGCACAATAATTCAAATTATCCTGTTAATTAAGAGTGACATCTGTGCTTCTAAAGGGGGAACATGGAAAATAGTTAATGGGTAAATAACATTTATGAGCCGTGTGAAACAGGCTTTGGAGCCACGTTGCAGAAATGGCCTTTTGCAAATTAATGTTAGAAATGGATTAAGATGGTTGTGGAAATCTGTAGAAATAATGGGACTGGGTTTATGCACTACTAGAGGTGACTTCCATTCTGTGGCACACCCTTACAAGCAAAGTTCAACTTCCTTCTTCCATGTTTGTTTTGATAAGCTCTTCATCTAAACTGAACGTGATCTGGACTTGATTTCTTAAATTACGATGTTAAATTATCATTGCTTGATTTTCAAATGAATGAGCTGCCTTTCCTGAAATGTATTTTATATAAGATGGAGCGCAAAAGTAATTAAAACCTTGCTCACAAGAGTGTACACACACAGCAATATGAAAAAACGTCCAGCAAGTTGTAGCTTTAATATGGTTTTGATTGTTGGAAATGGCCCTGATTTTGAGAGTGACAGCAGCCTAACTCGTAGTTTAATTAAATCAGGGAGGTTCATAAAATGCTGAAGAGGTTGGCTAGCAGGGGCAGAGATGGCAAGGAAGAAGGCAGACTGCCTTCGAGGCCATTTGCATTATTTCTTTAAACTTGTCTAGTTATGTTGGCCCTGTGGGAATGGGAAGGGATGGGTGTGGAGGTGTTTGCTTTGAGAGCCGAGCAAGAGCTGAAAGCACTTTTGCTCTTCACACCTCTGTGCCTACATTTCGGAAGCAAACATGGGTTAATAAGGAGGGGGCCTAGCAAACTAATCCTGTGTACGTGATGTCAAGCACAGACATTTAGGATCGAGATGTCAGGGAGCCAATTTGCAGGTTCTTTTAAAATTCCTTTTATTCCTTTCCACCTCTTTGCTTTTTCATTTCTGGCCACATCATGTCCGTAGCTAAGCTCTGCAATTTC